ATTATTATTATTATCTTATTATTATTATATCAATGCAAGGGGTCTATACGAGGAGTTATATAAAGTATTGAGTTGCCTATTAAGTCACTTATCCCAAAAAGATGASAAGCAAGTTATCTACTTCACTTACCGACAAACTTGCCAGTTTTATTGAAGCCAAACCCTGGACCTTTCGGACACAGTGTGCTAAACGTAGCTGAAGCGAAAATAAAAGTACGACAAAAAAAAAATCCAGGAAAGTTAATAATCAGCGGTTATTTCTGTCATAACTCTTTTTCTCCAAATTAAGTCTTTTTGTAAGCTTGACTACAACTCTTGGTTGCAATGTTTACCTCTTGTTATTTTTTGTTTGGACAGACTGCATAAACTTCCAGGAGATTTAGTGGAGTAGGTGGGAATGGGGCAGGGGGCAGGGGACAGGGGGTTACACAAATTGGGCTGGAGAGGTCAGGGTAATGTTCTAATATAAGTGCCATTATATTAATGACTTGCCGAGGCCAGGGTTAGAGAGCAGAATCGTAAACTCTTTAGCCCCCCTGCTTCTGTCTGCATAAAATGAGTGACCCTCCCCTAYAGAATGAAATATTTGATTACCACCCTTTTTGACTGAGTAGAAAATTATAATATGCCCCTCCCCTGGATTCCTCCGACCCATTCCCCCTCCTACWAAATGAATACTTCCTCACACAAAATGTTTCATAATTGTAACATAATGAATGGAGGAGCAGGGGACATTAATTTCGACCTTCTGATCAAAATCTCTGTCTAATTGTCCTCAACAGATAACTTGTAAGTGGTTCCTTCAACTTACTAGCGTTTGGCGATGGGCATAATTCACATGGATCGCCCCATCCTTGACCTTTAGAACAGCAACATGCAGACTTGGTTACTACCTCCAGGCGTGGATCGGTACAGCTATCTTCTTTGAAGGTGTTGAAACAGTAATCTTCGCGTACATCTTGGGAGAGAAAGGTTCAAATAAGTCTCAAAGTCAGGGTCGACTCTAGCTTCATTATCAAGAACAGTATATTCATTGGAAAACGCAGTCGAAGAAGAAGAGAGGAAGCCTTGAAGTTTTGGAGTTTTGGTACGTTTGAAGTACAATTATTATGCCACTGTATAGACCAAATGCCTTTATACAGCATTTAGTTTGAGAACAGTGTTCTAGAATGACTAGCCTCGTGTTCATCTACATGTATGAAAGGCTAGTCAGTCCAGAACATTAGTTATTCAAATTGGTAGCCATATTTGCTTTCGGTGTATAAAGACTCATTTTGTTTTATGTTAATTCATGTCTTAACTCCGACCCTTTTCCAGTAATAAATATTTCTATCCTTGGATTTCAATATCACCGTAAATCATTGCAGTAACTTATAACTAATTCATAAATATAACTGAGTTCTGCACAAWAAGACAAAACCTCCCTATTTCAGGCCACATGTCATTCCCTTGGACTCAAGCAGTGAGCGCCAAAAACTTTTTTTTTGAAAAAAGGCTGTTGTACAAGGCTAAAATCTTGTTATTCAGAAAGTTGAACTTRTTTGGAAGTGGAGACGTCCGATGAAAGTGGAATCAAAGTGTTAACCCAAAGCAAAATAAAAGGGGGAGGGGGTCTTTTGAGGGGAATYTTTCATGTTTTTCATGAAAAGTACCATTAAAGCTAAAAATTTCTCAACATTTTTGACCAAGATTGTAGGTCTATATGGCAAACTTACCAACGCAAGTAGTTCCGTCCTCGCTAGAAACATAACCTTGATTACAAGCGCAACGATAACTACCCGGTGTGTTAGCACAAATACCTCCTGGGAAACAGTAGTTTGGATTCGTGTCACATTCGTTCAGATCTAGAAAGGAAACGGAAAATATTTTTCATCTACTGTCCAAATTCAAATGTTATCTGCAGGGTAGTTATTTATAACTTACCCACACATTGTCTGCCGTCARGGCTGAGCGAGTATCCCGCGAGACACTCGCATCGGGCACCACCGATGGTATTGGTGCATCTTCCATTTTTGCAGTAGTTTGGTATCTCGGTACATTCATTGATGTCTAGAGAAAGAAGGTCGTAAATGAATAGATTATAATGATAGATGTGCTGTG